TAACATTACATGACGGGAGCACTGGTTAGCCAGAATAATTACTGGAGTGGAACAGTGGCATATTTTCTGTATACATTTCTCTTTAACCGTATCTATTGTTGTAGCTCAGCCATTTGGAGTGTAGGTATTCCCTTCCGGCTCCTCAGGGGCATTGCTTTTAGAGAATTACTTGATTTTAATTGACCCGTTTTGCAGTACTCACAAATAGATAAATTGTGTTATAACGTTCAGCAAATTTTCTTTTTTTCTTTGAGATGGAGTCTCACTCTGTCACCCAGGCTGGAGTACAATGGCGGGATCTGAGCTGATTGCAACCTCTACTTTCTGGGGTAAGCAATTTACCTGCCTCAGTCTCCCAAATAGCTGGGTTTACAGGTGCATACCACAGCACCAGATAATTTTTGTATTTTTGGTGGAGAGGGCATTTCACCATGTTGGCCAGGCTGGTCTCAAACTCCTGACCTCAGGTGATTCACCAACCTCGGCCTCCCAAAGGGCTGGGATTACTTTGGGAAATTACAAAAAAAAATTACAAAAAAAAAAATTTTGTAATTTTTACAGTACAGTAAATACTAAACATGGTGAAATATATATAAGGCTGGTTTGTGGCCGGGTGCGGTGGCTCAAGCCTGTAATCCCAGCACTTTGGGAGGCCGAGGCGGGTGGATCACGAGGTCAAGAGATCGAGACCATCCTGGTCAACATGGTGAAACCCCGTCTCTACTAAAAATACAAAAAATTAGCTGGACATGGTGGCGGGTGCCTGTAATCCCAGCTACTCCGGAGGCTGAGAATTGCCTGAATCCAGGAGGCGGAGGTTGCGGTGAGCCCAGATTGCGTCATTGCACTCCAGCCTGGGTAACAAGAGTAAAACTCCGTCTCAAAAAAAAAAAAAAAAAAGACTGGTTTGTAATGTTGCAACTGGATTTAAGTGCCACTGCAATATAGGCTAATCTTTGAGTCAGTAGAAAATTAATTCAGAGGCCAGGCACGGTGGCTCACGCCTATAATCCCAGCACTTTGGGAGGCCGAGGCGGGTGGATCACGAGGTCAAGAGATCGAGACCATCCTGGTCAACATGGTGAAACCCCGTCTCTACTAAAAATACAAAAATTAGCTGGGCATGGTGGTGCGCGCCTGTAGTCCCAGCTACTCGAGAGGCTGAGGCAGAAGGTTGCAGCGAGCTGAGGTTTTGCCATTGCACTCCAGACTGGGTGACAGAGCAAGACTGTTTCAATGAAAAATAAAAAAAGAAAGGTAATTCAGAAGTACACCTTCAGAATGAAAACAGCTAAAATTCGGTCTTTTGAAAGGCAAAGGATAGCTCTAAGCACTTGGTTAAAAGGATGTGATGACTTTATTACACACAGCAGTAGGCATTTAGTGTTTAATACAAATTCAGACCTTTTTAATTAAAAGATGATAGCAGAACAAAATCTGGCTGTTCAGGTGCCTTCTCCTTGTTTTAATGAATTTGTGTTTGTATATTGCTGGTCATAAGAATTTTGAATGGGGAAAGAGAGATCCAGATGTTTGAAACGTGGATTTCCCTAATTGTAGAGTTGTTGCTCTTTATATCTTAGTGGGACTTGATGCAGCCTATGCAGGAGTTTGAAAGTGATATGGCAGGCAAAAATTAATACACTTCAAAAGAGCTTATTTTCTTATGTCTTATGTTAATCCTGGAATTTTTTTTTAAAAAACTTTCTTTTAAAAGGAATAACACCCCAATCCTTCCTCCGATCTTCTCAAACATTTGACTTTTATTATTGTACCACTTTGAGTATTTTTGAGAGCCTATTTACTTCTAACAGAGCTTGTTATTAGCGATTTAAAGTAAAAAATATAAAGTCCTCGTTTTTCTTTTCAGTGAGGGAGACCCCAGGTAAAGCAACAATGTATCATAGCTTTGATACCCGATAGACCGGATGTCGAGCCTGCACTTCTATTCAGTAACATGCAAACGGTGAAATATATTCACTTTTTGAAGGTTTATCCTTTTTTTTTTTTTTTTTTTTTTTTCTTTGAGACGGAGTTTCGCTCTTGTTACCCAGGCTGGAGTGCAATGGCGCGATCTCGGCTCACCGCAACCTCCGCCTCCTGGGTTCAGGCAATTCTCCTGCCTCAGCCTCCTGAGTAGCTGGGATTACAGGCACGCACCACCATGCCCAGCTAATTTTTTGTATTTTTAGTAGAGACGGGGTTTCACCATGTTGACCGGGATGGTCTCGATCTCTTGACCTCGTGATCCACCCGCCTCGGCCTCCCAAAGTGCTGGGATTACAGGCGTGAGCCACCGCGCCCCGCAGGCTTTATCCTTAAAGCAATGGGAAGAGTTCAGAAAAAACAAAAGGTAGAAAGTTGAACTGACAACTAGAGGTGTATCAAAACTCTGCAAATGACAGTCGTTTTTGCTTTAACAATATCCTGAAATAGGAATGTAAATCGGTGAGATTTCCTGAATCAGAGGTCTAATCATAAGCGTTGATTCCCCCAACAACCCAAATTTAGTAAAATGAAAATTCCTCCCTATAATTTTTCGGGTTGCTTTATCATTTTTAAATTCCTGGGAGAGACGTACATTCTCGATTGGTGAGAAATGCTTAGGACTAGGTCTTGACATCAAAGGCCAAGAAAGTAGCTGCCAGTAAACTGCCCCCAGTGAAACCTCACATTGCTTCTGTAGGACTACACTCGGACCCATGGAATGGAATGTGTGTGTGTTTTAGAACTGGAATTTCAGACGGCTTTTTCTTTTCCAGCCCTAAAAGCCATCCTTCATTTATCATTTGTTGCCCACATGTCCGGGCCACCTTGCCTCTTGAGTCAAACCAATGGGGGATATAACCAGGACAATGAACGAACGAGAAAGGCGTCGCTGCTTGGAGACACCTGTTGAGGTCAATGGTGTACTGGGCTGGCCCTGCTTCTGTCCTCTAGGTAAGGATGGATTGCAACCACTCCTCGTTACATTACAGCCTACCCCAGAGGAGCTGAGTTAACTGGAAACAGCTGCAACATCTGCCCGGCCGCCTCGCCCCTGCCCGTGGAAGGGCGAGGGGCCCGCATGGCAGCAACTGCACTGCACAAAAGACAACACCTATCACCGGCAGCCACCGGCCTTCCGTGGACGGCGCAGCTCCCGGCGCTAGGGCATCCCCCGAAGACGCGAGGGCCGGGGGCGAGCCCAGGTGCGGCAAGGGGGCGGAGGTTTCCGCCGCGCGCCGGGGAAGAAAGCCTGACTCATGTCGTGGCAGCAGCGGGCTCCTGGGAACTGAAACTCGTGATGCTGTGGCTGCGGAGAAAAGCCTCATTACCCATTCCGCAGGCCGGGGACACCACCCAGGGCGCGCACAGCGAGCTCCCGCGCCGCGCCCCCTCCTCGCCCGCGTGCCCGCGCGCGCCGGCCACGAGTGTGAAAAGAGCGGACACACCTAACCTGCGCGCGCGCGCCTGCCCACCCCCACCGGGCCGAATCACGCAGTCCGACCCGGATTCGCTCCTTCGGCCGAAATTCCCCACCCCACCAATCCCTCCGGCTCCACGACTCCCGGCTTCGGCGCCTCCGCCAGCCTTCGGCAATTTCCGTCAACAGACCCGGCGCTCGCCTCGGCCCGAAGACCCGCCGCCTCCTGCCCTGCCAGACCCCGCTTTATGTCTGCGGCGCCTAGGCGCATGCGCAGACGCCATCTTTCCCCCCTCCTCCTCCGCCTGCCCCCTCCCCCCGCCACCGCCACCTCCTCCAGGCGGCGGTCGCCCCTCCTCCTCCTGCGCTCGGCGCTCGTCCCTCCCCTCCAGAAGCCGCGAGAGACGGGGGGACACGGTGGAGCCGGAGAAGAGCACTAGTAACAACCACCACAGCCCCCTCCCCGCCCGACACCCTCCCTCGGCACCCACCCACTCCCCCGCCCCGTTTGCCGACACCGACCAACCCCACCTCTCGTTCCTTTGAACGGCGTCGGCTGCAGTCGCTGCACCAGCCCGTCTGGCCACCAACGCCGCCGAGAAAGGAGCCGCCGCCGCCCGCGGCCCCCTCCCGCCCGGCCGTGGGAGCAGCGGGGCGAGGACGAGCCGGCTGCGGAGGAAGAGGACACGAGAGGGTCGCACCCTCCGCCCCAGCGCACGTCCCGCCGCCCTCCGGGGAGCCTCGGGCGCCGGCCCCTTCCTCCCCGAGGACGCGTGCCGAGCGGAGGCGCCTGCCCCGAGGGAGGAAAATGCTCGGGCTCCATGGCTGCCAGTGATGGAGCGGTCCCTGGGCTCCCGCTGCCGCCGCCGCCGCGCCCCGGCCGTGCTCCGCGAGGACCCGGCGTCTCTGCGCGCCCGCCCGCGCCTGGTTGCTGGGCTCACCGTACCGGGCGCCCCGCCGCCGCCGCCCCGCTCGCAGCCGCGCCGGCCCGGCCCCAGCCGCGGCCAGCGTTTCCTCAGCGAGCAGCCGCCGCGAGCCCAGGGGGTTTGAAAGGGTCTGCGGGGCGCGGGGGGAGGGCCGGGCGGGGCCGGGAGGGGAGGTTGGAGCGGCGCTGAGCGCGGGGCTCGCTGGCGGCTGCGGCCTGGGGGTGGCGAGGGGAGGGCGCCTGTGGCTCGGCGCTGCCTCGCTGCGGAGCGGCCGCCGCGGCGGGAGGAGGGGGCCCGGGCGGCTGCGGAGTCGGCCGGAGAAGGTGGGCATTTCTCGCTCTTCCTCCCCTCCGTCCTGCCCCACACCCCACGTGAAGCGGAATAGGAAGGGGGGCGTGCGGCCCGAGGGGAAGGCGGACGGCGAGGGACTGGAGGGGTCCCCCCTGCGGGTCCTCGCCGCCGGTTCACCCTCGTTCATCCTCCTTCCCGAAGCTCGCCCTCGAGGGCAGGAGCGGCCGGCGCCTTCGGCTGAGGTGGAGGAGGAGGAGGAATCGCGACAGGCGGCGCGTCGGGGCCCGTTTTCCTGTCCGGCGTCTCGAATACAAGGATTACGGTGCAGAAGGAAATCGCTCTCGCCTCCTGCGCCCCCCCGCCCGGTACCCAACACAATGCACCAGCCGCCCGAGTCCGCCGCCGCGGCCGCCGCAGACCTCAGCGCCAGGAAGATGGCGCACCCGGCGATGTTCGCTCGAAGGGGCAGCGGTGGCGGCAGCGCCTCTGCGCTCGGTGCAGCAGGTACCGGCGTCGCCAGCAACGCCACCTCTTCCGAGGATTTTCCGCCGCCGTCGCTGCTCCAGCCGCCGCCCCCCGCCGCAGCATCTTCTGCGTCGGGACCACAGCCCCCGCCTCCACAAAGCCTGAACCTTCTTTCGCAGGCCCAGCTGCAGGCACAGCCTCTTGCGCCAGGCGGGACTCAAATGAAAAAGAAAAGTGGCTTCCAGATAACCAGCGTGACTCCGGCTCAGATCTCCGCTAGCATCAGCTCCAACAACAGTATCGCCGAGGACACGGAGAGCTATGACGACCTGGATGAGTCTCACACGGAAGACCTCTCTTCTTCGGAGATCCTCGACGTGTCACTCTCCAGGGCTACTGACTTAGGGGAGCCCGAACGCAGCTCCTCGGAAGAGACCCTAAATAACTTCCAGGAAGCCGAGACCCCTGGGGCGGTCTCTCCCAACCAGCCCCACCTTCCTCAGCCTCATTTGCCTCACCTTCCACAACAGAGTGCTGTGATCAATGGGAATGCTCATCCACACCACCTCCATCACCACCATCACATTCATCATGGGCACCACCTCCAGCATGGGCACCATCCATCTCATGCTGCTGTGGCCACTGCATCCATTCCTGGTGGGCCACCCTCAAGCCCAGTATCTAGAAAACTTCCTACAACTGGAAGCTCTGACAGTATCACACCAGTTGCACCAACTTCTGCTGTATCATCCAGTGGTTCACCTGCATCTATGGTGACTAATATGCGTACTCCAAGTACTACCGGCGGAATAGGTATAAGTTCTGTCACTGGCACTAATACAGTGAATAATGTTAACATTACTGCTGTGGGTAGTTTTAGTCCTAATGTGACAAGCAGCATGCCTGGTAATGCTAATGTAAGTGCAAGCAATATTCCTAGTGCTGCTAGTGTGAGTGCTGGGCCTGGTGTTCCCAGTGGTGTTAATGTGAATATCTTGAGTGGCATGGGCAATGGTACTGTGTCTTCCTCCGCTGCTGCTAACAGTGTCCCTAATGCAGCCGCAGGGATGACTGGGGGATTGGTTTCAAGTCAGCAGCAACAACCAACAGTTAATACTTCGAGGTTCAGAGTTGTGAAGTTAGATTCTAGTTCTGAGCCCTTTAAAAAAGGTAGATGGACTTGCACTGAGTTCTATGAAAAAGAGAGTGCCGCACCTGCTGCAGAAGGTGTGATAAATAAAGGGGTGGAGACTGTAAAGCAAAGTCCGATGGAAGCGGCTTCTGAGAGGGAGAGCACCAGTGGGAGTTCCGTGAGCAGTAGTGTCAGCACACTGAGTCACTATACAGAGAGTGTGGGAAGCGGAGAGATGGGAGCCCCCACTGTGGTGGTGCAGCAGCAGCCAGCTCTCCAGGGTGTGACCCTCCAGCAGATGGATTTTGGTAGCACTGGTCCACAGAGTATTTCTCAGTCACAGATCTCACAATTACAGTCTCAAGAACTGAGCTATCAGCAAAAGCAAGGTCTTCAGCCAGTACCTCTGCAAGCCACTATGAGTGCTGCAACTGGTGTCCAGCCCTCGCCTGTAAATGTGGTTGCTGTAACTTCAGCTTTAGGTCAGCAGCCTTCCATTTCCAGTTTGGCTCAACCCCAACTACCGTATTCTCAGGCGGCTCCTCCAGTGCAAACTCCCCTTCCAGGGGCACCACCTCCACAGCAGTTACAGTATGGACAACAGCAGCCAATGCTTTCTACACAGATGGCCCCAGGCCATGTCAAATCAGTGACTCAAAATCCTGCTTCAGAGTATGTACAACAGCAGCCAGTTCTTCAAACAGCAGTGTCCTCCACACAGCCCAGTTCTGCAGGAGTGGGAGTAGGAACAACGGTGATTCCTGTGGTTCAGCCACAGAGTATCCAGTTGCCAGTACAGCCCACAGCAGTCCCAGCACAACCTGCAGGGGCATCTGTCCAGCCTGTTGGCCAGGCTCAGACAGCAGGGTCTGCTGTACCTACTGGCAGTCAGATTGCAAATATTGGTCAGCAAGCAAACATACCTACTGCAGTGCAGCAGCCCTCTACCCAAGTTCCACCTTCAGTTATTCAGCAAGGTGCTCCTCCGTCTTCGCAAGTGGCTACACCTGCTCAAGCTGGGATTATTCATCAGGGAGTTCAAACTAGCGCTCCAAGCCTTCCTCAACAATTGGTTATTGCACCCCAAAGTCACGTGTTAACTCTGCCTCCCCAGCCACAAGGAGTAGAACCAGTAGGTCAAGGAGTTCTTTCGCAGCAGCTGTCTGCAGTTAGTCCTTTGCCCTCTGCTAGTAATATTTCTGTTACAAGTCAGGTTAGTTCAACTGGTCCTTCTGGAATGCCTTCTGCCCCAACAAACTTGGTTCCACCACAGAATATAGCACAAACCCCTGCCACCCAAAATGGTAATCTGGTTCAAAGTGTTAGTCAACCTCCCTTGATAGCCACTAATATAAATGTGCCTTTGGCACAGCAGATACCACTGAGTTCTACCCAGTTCTCTGCACAATCGTTAGCTCAGGCAATTGGAAGCCAGATTGAAGATGCCAGGCGCCCAGCGGAGCCGTCCTTAGTTGGCTTACCTCAGACCGTCAGTGGTGACAGTGGGGGAATGTCAGCAGTTTCAGATGGGAGTAGCAGCAGCCTAGCAGCCTCTGCTTCTCTCTTCCCGTTGAAGGTGCTACCGCTGGCGACACCTCTGGTGGATGGCGAGGATGAGAGGTAAGATCATGTCGTATTTCTGGAGACATTCAGCAGATTTGAAGTTAATCTAGTTAGTAGCTATATGTATGCACAAAAATTAGTCTAAAGCATTGTATATTGTTTTCATTCTTGTATGTGAAAAATGCATTTTTATGGGAAGTTTTACAGAACAAGTGTTACAGAATGGTTTCACAGTGGGTAGGAAATAATAGTAATATGTAAACAGTATTTTCAGAATAGTCGTTGAACGTATGTTCACATTAAAAATAGGTTTGGGGCATCAAGTAGTTTTATTATCTATAAAATGTTTTTTAAGAATATTACGAAAAACTAAATTTTGCTAACCCACATAATTGTTAATCTGTTCTTTTGAGCTACAAAACCTCTTACGGGGTTGTGTTTCCCACGTTCTCCTTTTCCAGACACCCTTTTTTCATTTCTACTGTGTTTGATCTTAGTCTGTGAAAGGTACTATATGGTAGGAAAGATGACCTAATCTGGGTTACATAGGTTGCCCTCCTACTGCAACTGACCAACTTTTGGGTTCATATTTAATGGTCATTTTAGTTAAACAGTAAAGGAATGGGAATCTTAAAGTATTTTGTGGGAAAGAAGGGCACAAACTGTCAAGATAACCAGATTCATCTGTGATAGTATGCTGTATATTTTTTCTTTTGCATGGTAGATCAGGGTGGTAGCCATTTTAAAGAGTGGAGAAAGTGAGTCTTGGAGGACTGAATTTATAGAGGGATGAAAATAAGACCTTGGTCTCGGCTAATCTACTCCACCTGTTCCTTTCTTCCTTTACCAAAAAGATACAGAAAGCCTAAAGTATATTAATAAACCAAGCGTTTTTTCAATTAGATTGGAAATAACGTGCCAACAACGCTTGTTGAATCGAATTGTGTCTTTGAAGTTGACTGGCTAGAAAAGTTGTGAAATCTTCATGTTTCTATATTGTTTTAAATCCTAGTTGATTTTTAAAGTAACGTTTTTTTCGCAAATTTGCCAGTCATTAACCTTGATTAAAATGCTATTATAGGACTTATGAAAAGCCATCATTTTTACTGTGGAATTTGGAGTAAGCTTGCTAGATACTTAATTATTTTTGTATTAGTTGGAGGGTTTTGTGATTGAACTTTCATCAAACCAATTTAAGCATTTATATTCTATATATATATAATTTGTGGATTTTGTTTTGGAAAAATGAGCATACTGCAAAATAATTGTAATTTTAGAAAAAGCAAAGGTCAAATGTTTCAGTGAGGTTTTTGTTAGTTGTTTAAAAGATAAGGTAATGACATGGTTAATTGATAAATTAAAATCTTTCAGGGTTTTTTATTATTTTTCTAATAGTCATGTAAGTAAAATCTTGTTACCTAACCAAATGTATTCTTTATTGTTTGTACAGAAGTGTACTTTAAAAGACTAACTTCTAGGAGGTAGTTTTCTTAATTGTTCCATTGTTGTTGTTAAACCTTTAATTTTATCATGCTAATACTCACCTGTAATTTTAAAAGAATTATTTACCGCACATATTAATTTTTTTTTAAGTCAGACGGTTATGATCTGAGTGAAGCCTCCAGAAAAACATATATATTATGTGGATGCTAAGTTTAGAGAAATAAAAGGCAGGGGTAGAATACACAAATGGAAACACACATTTTGAATTAAAACCTGCCATGATTTTGTAATTACCGTTTGTGGTCCCCTGGCTTGACTTTCACCTGTGTTTCCTCCTGTTGGGACATTATGGGACTTTCCACAGCTTGCTGTTCAGACAATTAAAGTGAATTAAACAATTCAGCTAGAATTTTAAATATAGGAATAGGGGCCCCAGTTTCAGATACTAATACAAACTTAATTTTTCCAGGTGATTGAGGAAAGGGTTAATAAAGAGCAAGTTGTGGAAATTAATGAAATTCTATAAAGGGACAGAAGACATACTGAGAAATATGGAAATATTGATCTAATGTAACAGACTGTCTTCAGATACTGTACACATTCAGTTATAATTATCTTTACCAGTGTCTCCCACCAGACCAGAAGTTCCTCAATAGCAGGGACCATTTTGAATTTACTATTTGAGCCTTGATTAGCTCACATTAAAGTTTTGTGATTAAAAACTAGAAAATTTTTGTTCTAAAAATTTTGTGAAATCAGAAAGTAGCCCTAAAACACCTTGTAAGGTCAGAAAAGATACATATTATATTCTTTATTGTGTTTTACTGCAGATTATTTCTTTTATCACTACAGTTTGGAAAAAGAAATTAATTTTATTTAAATTTGGCCTTGGAAGATAATTTAGGAATAGCTAGAAGAGAATACAGTGATAAGATGGAAGAACGTTTAAAACCTTTCTTCCCATGTTAGCTTCTGTGTCACCTGCATCTTCTGGGCTTGGTAACCATCAGTCTCATGAGAGGGGGTGTACATATATCATTTCAATATTATAAATCAGGAAATGTGTTAACAATATAACTTTTGGATAGTAGGAAAAATGAGGGTGGTTATCTTTTAGTCATCTTTTGAATAATACTTTAGATTATAAAATATTTAGACATGTGGGAAGTGCTTTCAGTTGATCCCTGGGAGACTGTAAAGATAAACATAGATCAAGGGTAAGATTATGTATTTTGTTTTAAAAAAAAAAAATCATTTTTCTTAAAAAGGTCTTAATGTCAGGCTGTGTGTGGTGGCTCATGCCTCTAATTCCAACACTTTGGGGGGCTGACGTGGGCGGATTGCTTGAGCCCAAAACATTGAGACCAGCCTGGGCAACATGTCAAAACCCTGTCTCTACAAAAAAATACAAAATCTCATCAGACATGGCGGTACGTGCCTATAGTTTCAGCCACCTGGAAGCCTGAGGATGTAGTAGGATCACCTGAGCCCTGGAAGTGCAGTGATCTGGAATCACGCCACTGCATTCCAGCCTGGGTGGCAGAGCAGGACCCTGTCTGAAAAAAGAAAAAAGCCTTATGTTTTAGCCTATTACTTGAACCATGAATTCTCCTATACAAGAATGGGAAAATACAGGTATTTCATACATCTTATGTTTTGTGATTGTTATTAGCACAGCCTCTTAATGTGAAATGGGTCAAACTTCTATTCATCCTTCAAGAGTCTGCTCAGATGTTCTCTTTAAAGCATCCTTTTCACTCAGAGGACGTTGTTTCCTTAGCACTTTTTAATGTTCCTCTATGTAAGCACTGTACACATTGAATTATGTTTACCAGTCTTTCCCACAAGACTAGCAGTTCCTCAAGGGCAGGGATGAAGTATTCTTTTGAATTAATTAGCAGACGTTTCTGATTTTTTTGTTCTGATTTAAAATTTATATTGTCCCTCATCTTAAGCACAACTGTGTGTGAGTGGTGCATATAACTTATGCAACAAATGGAAAAGAAGTGAATAAAAAGACTTGCATTTTTGTACCTCTCTTCAACGTTCTTTGAGATGAACTGGTGTTTGTCTTCTAAGTACAGCTCCTGTTTTATAGTAGGTCGTCAAATATTTAAGAGGCATGAATGTTATCTATAAAATAGGAGTCATACTCATTTTCCCTACTTCTGAGGATGGCAGTAGTATCAATGAAAATACTTTGTTAACCGTAAAATGCCAAATTATAATTTTGAAAGTTTTTTTCAAGATGTACATGCACAGTTTAAAGATCGTTTAAATGGTTTTCCAAAAGGTAAAGAGCTTCCTGCCCCTTACTTTCCAGTTTTCGTTTCCTAGAAGCACTTTCACCCCCTTTAGATGATTATTGTGGTATTTGCCTCCCAGTCTCTAAATAATGTGCTTGTCTTAGACTAGATATGTAACACGGCCTGCTGGTTAGGAGTGTGGACTATAGAGTTAGATTGCCTAGACTTGATTTGTCTTGTCATTTACTAGTTTTCTGTAAAATTTGAGCTACTTAGCCTTTTATGCCTCAATTGTCTCATTAAAAGAAAAAATGATGACAATAGTATCTACCTCATGGGGTTGATTCAAGAGTTAAATCTAGGGGATTTGGAAATCCCTAGAACTTTGTCTAACTCACGTGCCCTATGGAAGTATTTGTTAAATAAAATAGATCTTTCATTTGTTTTTGTCTGTATTAACTTACTGTATTGAAAATGAAGATTTAATTTTGTTATCATCTACCTACCTGGTCTCCTTTCTTCCCAGTACCCTTCCCTTCCTCCCAGTAGTTACCACTGTTGGTTATTCAGTATTCTTGTCGAATATTACTTTTCCTATCCGGTGCAGTGTTTTGTGGCTGCTTCCCTGCTCCATCCCCACCTGTCTGTTACAGACATGGGTTTTCCTCCCCTCTCAAGTTTTCATCTGTCAGCATTGTCTGTTTTCTCCAGGTTGCCCCTCATTTCCCCACTCCCCTCCCATCTTTGTATGTTTTGGGCTCTGCCTGTCCTGTATAACCTTTCCTTAGGTGTCTGGTAAGTCTTGATAGTCTTGTTTGCAAATAAGCGTTAAAGGACTAAAGAACTGGTGCGGCTCATGCCTATAATCCCAGCACTTTGGGAGGCCAGGGTGAGAGGATTGCTTGAGGCTAGGACTTTGAGATTAACTTGGGCAATACAGCAAGATCCTGTCTCTATGATATCTATATCTATATCTGTCTATATAGATATAGATACGTATATCTATATGTTTATATCAATTTTTAAAAATAATTTTATGTATCTATAGATATGTAATCTCTATATTTATATCTATATCTATAGATAGATATAGATATGTAATCTCTATATTTATGTCTATATATATAGATAGATATAGATATAAAATTATTTTTAAAAATTCTTTTCCATGTGGCTTGTTGACTATTAAATTTACCAAGGGTGATCTGGCTGGAGTTCATTGTCTTTTTTTTTTTTTTTTTAAACCTCTTTGCCTAGTTTTCTCTGTATTTATCGCTAATTCCACTTCTCATCCAGTGCCTCTTAAGATGTTCCAATATCAGATATTGTCAACAATTTTTATCTTTCTCAGGAAATCTCATATCCTCC